TTGAGTTGCTGTTGTTTCTCATGTTAACGCCTTTTACAAGTTGTTTCCAGTATTTGTATATAATTTTTTTTCCCCCGCTTGCTGAGTATGGTTTCTTCAGAAGAAGGTGCAAACGTCGGTAGTAAAGTTGGTAGTAGGAGTGAACACGTGCGAAACGGCAAAAGAGTTACTGTTGGTTCAGTCCGTCGAGTTCAGCCAACAGAAATGTAGTTGTCAAAAAGGGGGGAATAATATAAAAATTAATAGTTTATTGATGAGTTGTTGAAATGTCTATTTTTTTCGTATTATATTCTTCTTTTCAACTCTTCAGGAAGTTTTATTGTTGTTTCTGAAACAGGTTGGCGCTTAGTATTAGATATACAAAATATCTTTAATTAAGTGTTTTCAAGCTGTTGTAATGTTGTCTTTAAGAATGAAATATTCTATGGGAAATAAGTTTTAGTTTTGTAATTGTATAGTTAAAAAGGATTTAAAGATAATGGCTTGCATTTTTATAAATAATTGCTTAAATGGCTTCGAAATTTTATATTTTAAAAGCATTGTAAATTGTTGTAAATAAAATGAGGTTAATATAAAATTTTTTATCTTAAGAGTATTTTAAGTAGGTATAAGTAAAAGCTTTGCTAACCGACCCAAGCGAATTTGAGCAAAATACTATACAAAATTACTGAATAATTTGAACATCTTAATTAAGAAAAGGCGTTCCAATTTAATGACACAATGTAAGGGTTTTTACTTCGATAGGTTTAAATACACGAATTAAGTTTTAAATTAACTAAGATATAGCTACTAATAACTACTTTTACGTTCATTTGCAAATTTCAAAGTTTAACTTAGAAGGGAAAATTGTTTGTCATATGAAGAGGTTAAATGCGTCCCAATTGGATCTTAACATAGTGTAATATTTAAGGAAAAAAAATATAGAGGAGTTGTAGCATCGTTGGTACAAGTATATGAAGTATGGAGAGAAACTCTAAGAAACTCTGATAGTATTACAGTTGTACTTGGTGATGATCGCACTAAAACGTAAGAATACATCAATCTAAGAGAATACTATGATGAAAAACATCAAGAACAACATTATTAATCTAAATTGGACCTTGACGCATTGCACTATATATAATAGAAAACTGTTGAGAAGTGGAAGCATTCTTAATACTAGTATATGGAGTTCAGAGAAGACTAAGGACTCTTAGTAAATTTAATATTATTATAATTGGCTATAGTTGTCTCCGAATGTACTTCTCATCAACACGCACCTTTTAAACCGAAGTTAATCTAAGAAAAGTCTATGATGAAAAAAATCTAGAACAATTGAGTTTAACAATATTCATTTTTATAGTGAGTGCAGGGATTTTCGTATGATTTTTTGATATATAATATTTAAGTATTGACTACCAAAATTTCAATCCCTATTAAAAAAAGTGTAATTATTACTTTTTTGGATCCGTGCTTAACATAGTTTAACATTTGCGAAATTTTTTTAGTAATAAGAAGTGAAGAACAGTTAACATAAATTTTCCTTCAAAAATTGTCTAATAAACAGTAACCGTAAAAATAAAGTTAGAAATATGATATTATCAATAGATCAATAGTACGTCCCCTTAAGTTTATTAAAATTTGATCTTTGTACTACGACACTATTGATATTAAGAGTACTGTCTTCTAAAGAAAAAAGTTTTAAAATATTTACTATAAAATAAACAACTTTAGATGTATTTGAAAGTTTTACTTTCAAAGGTCCAAACCGCCAAACATATATCGTAATAATAAACATACATTATACATACATTACTCGTTACATATGAACCTCTAAAGTAATCGAATCGTTTATCATATTAAACAAATCTCAATGATATCAATCTTAACCACATCAAATAAAATCTTTCATTTCAAGTAAAAAAAGCTTTCTACTACATACACGTGTGTGTGTGTACATTTACAAAAAAAAAAAAAACCAAAACCTAACTAAAAAATACTTAAACCTCAAAATAATTTTTCATTCAAATCAGTCAAAATAAATCATTAACATGTTTTTAACATTAGCATTACCAGTTTACAAAATTTTACAGTTTTCTTATGCTTATATTGGACTGCTGTTAATGTTATTGTTGTTATTGTTGTTGTTTTTACTTATGATATACTTTTTTTATATTATAATGTGCTCCATTTACGGTCTGAATTAATTCAAAACATTAGTTTAATGTAGCAAACCACAAAGAATAATTTAAAAATTTAAAACTTTAAATTAACCAACACAAGCAAAACAACAACATCAACAACAACATCAGCAACAGCAACAACAAATAACAAGAATAATTATCAAAACACATCAATAAGCTTGAAATGAAGCGTGCGCGGCGCCACTACGCATGCGCCCGCGATTTCCCTTTCCTTTTCATATAAAATAAAAATCAAACAAATAATAATAACCAAAAAGGTATAAAAGGAAGCCAAAAGTTAAAATCAAGAAAAAAATGAATAAAAATAAAATAAATAAAAAAAAAAATAAAAGTTTAGACTAACAAGTTGACGCCACTTTGAAATATTTGTCACCAAAGCAACATATACAAGTAAACTAAACAGACTCTACCACCACCACCAACAACAACAACAACAGTAATCAGAACGGCAACAACAAAGTGCATGCAACAAAAAAAAACAATACAAATTTTGATTTTTTATTATCTTCAATTTGTGGGGCACGACAGCCATCAAGCTTTTCGTTGGGGGCGTTTAGTGTTTTGCTTCTTTTTTTCTTTCTTGCTTTTTTGTGTAGT